GTAGGCCAAAACCTCCTTCCTAAGGAGAGGCCTATGTCCAGCAGTAAACTATTAAAGGTTGTTGATGATGATGATGATGATGAAGTCCCTCCCGGATAAGGCGAGAATTAATCCTGTTACTTTACTCACTCGATGAACAAAGACAGGTCTGCTTAACACCGGTTTTCTGTGCGCTGTGGGATCACTCCAGCCATCAATACCAATACACATATGGGGCATGTGTGTTGGTTTTGTTTTTGGTTGTAGGCTCTGATTTCCGTATTCTCGAGAGTGGTTTCTAGTAGAGGTTGGCTGGATGAGCGCACCAAGCTCCTTCCAAGGTTCAGGAGCGAATTTGTACCCCATATGTGTATAAGTTAACCGTTTTCACAGAGTTTTTCTCCGAGATTTATTAAGTCATTTGAGATTTTATTGAAGCATAAGAGGATTCGGGTTTTGGAAAGATTTGGTTTACTTTATTATAAACAAGTGGTCCTAGTTAGTAAAAGAATCGTTTTGTGAAAGTAATGTGGATTTATTTTCGTTTTACTCCAGTTTTCAATCCCAATTTAATATTTTTAGCGTTGGATCCCAAAAAATATTTTTATGTACTTCAGTTGGATCCCAAATTCCCAAGCGCCGGTAGCCTAGTGGTTAAGGCATTGGACTTGCGATCAAGAGGTCGTGGGTTCGAAGCCTGACCAGTACACTACCGTCGTAAACCCACTCCTCACACAAGCATTTAGCTTAGCAGGAGGGGTTAATGGGAATACTAGTAATTTCGGTTGCTAGCAGACCTTTTAAAAAACGAAAAAAAATGCAAGAGACTTGCGTTTTATTGCCGTTGAATCCCAAAAACTATTTCCGTTTTATCTTAAGTTTTTTTTTTATGTTAGAGGGGGGCAGACGAGCAGACGGGTCACCTCATGGAAAGTGACTATAGCCGCTCATGAACGTCTGCAACTCAGGAGTCACAAACGCGTTACTGGCCTTGGCCTTTTAGGAAAGAGTACGCTCTTTTCTGGAAGGTTTGAAGGTCGTATCGGTCCGGAAATACCGCAGACGATACTAAGTGTTTAAAAAACCAGAATGCAGGTATTTTCAACAACAAAATTGTTTATAATAAAATGAAGGTATATTTTATTTCACTGAACACTTATAATATCGCTGTTCTGTTTGTCATTACGTCACGTTCACGCGTAACCATTGCGTCAAATGAAAAATCACAAAGTACTATGAGTGATCAAATCCTATCTACTTCTTCATCAATAGATTCGAATTTTAAAGAAAGAACTGGTAGTTCAGTTCTTTTATATAATGCTCATGAATATACAAAGAAATAAGATAGGTATAATATTAAAAAGGGGACTTATATCAATATATATTACCACCGTTAAAAAAAATGTAAGGGAACATTTCAGTTTTGTATAATATTTTTTTTGTTTACCACTTTTCTTTGGAATAGTACACATGTGATTGCAACATGGGATTCAATGGTAATAGCAAATGGGACCCATCGTTAACACCTAAAATATGGGATCAAAACTGGGATGCAACGAAAATCAGTAAGTGTGAGGTGTAGTAAACATTTTTCGTTAAGGTATCATCATCATCATCATCAGCCTATCGCAGTCCACTGCTGGACAAAGGCCTCTCCCATTGCACGCCACTTAAGTTAATGTTCCCTTGCATTTTTTTTAACGGTGGTAATATATATTGATATAAGTCCCCTTTTTAGTATAGTATACCTATCGTTAAGGTATAACGTTATTTATTTATTGAGTCTTTCTGCAAACATATTGCATAAGGCGGACTTAATGCTTCATTTTCTTCCAGTCAAATCTTTGGGTGTTGCAAAGCTGTGTGTGGCAGGTGTATATTTGGGAAAGGTAAAGATGAGACTGAATTTAGCAATGTTACAATGTAAAATTTTAATTTGTTAAGCTAAGAGTGTGTTGTTGTAGTACAGAGCTTAGTATGAACGCTGCAGTTTTGGTATAATTCAAAAGTGGTATCGTATTGAGTGAAAAGTAGAAACGAAACCGTGGGAGAGCCATACTTCGGCGCGAATGGGCCGGCTCGACCGGAGTGATACCACGGCCTCACAAAAAACCGGTGTTAAGCAATTCTTTCGTTGCCTTTCACTGAGTGAGTGAGGTTACCGGAGCCCAAATCCCCCCTCCAGTTTACTCGAGCGGGAGGGACTCCAAGGGCAGCAACGCACAGGTGACTTTTGAGTTGCAAGTGTCCATGGGCGGCGGTAGTTGCTTACCCTTATACCATAAAAAATACTTTAAATATGGCTCTCTGAGTTTGTGTGTGTGTGTGTGGTTTTAAAGGCGTGTTTTAAACGACTGCGCAGATGGCGTAGTGGTTTAAGCGGTCGCCACGGCGCTTCCTACTACGCTGAGTGCTGTGGGTCCGATCCCCACATGGGACTACACTTTGTGTGATCCACAAATAGTTGTCCTGAGTCTGGGTGTTCTTTGTGTCCGTTTCATGTATGTTTGTAAAGGCCCCCCGACACAGGACATATTCCTAACGCGAGAGTTGTCTTTAAAAAAAAAAAGCGTTATATCAGCACCACCCTTGTCAAACCTCCAAGAAAAGAGCGTACTCCTTCCTAAAAGGCCGGCAACGCGTTTGTGACTCCTGAGTTGCAGACGTTCATGGGCGGCGATAGTCACTTACCAGCAGGTGACCCGTCTGCTCGTCTGCCCCCTCTAACATAAAAAAAAAACCCTAGTCTGTAATACAGTAGCAAGCGTTGTTGTAGGTGTTTAATGCTCTACTTTCAAAGTTTTTGGTGCAATAGACGAGAGTATGTATGTCCCGAGCCTTCAAACATATCTCACATTTAATATAACAACTAGAATTGCTAACGAACTGTAAGCCAGCATTGTCTAGAAGTCTTATTTCGTAAGATCGTGCGAGCCGCGCTCGCTTTGAGCCTTGACCGGGTTTTATTTGCCGTCCATTAGCTAACAGTGCTTAGGTTTAACCAATTTTATCGTTAATAAAACACTGATTCAGTGATACGAAATAGGAAAATTTTGGCAAATTATTTATTTACTTTTATTTGTAAAAATACAACTACCCTGTGTCACGGTGGACTTTACAATCATACATGAACTGGACACAAAGCACACCCAGACTCAGAACAACAATTTTGTGGATCACACAAAGTATTGTCCCACGTGACCGCTTAAAACACTACGCCATCCGTGCAGTTTAGTTATATTGAACAATTTAATAAAACAAGATATATCTTTAATTCCACGCCCACTACTGTAACTCCTGTAAACCAGGATCAACAGCAGTGATTTACGAAGCCACCGAGTTATTACACTCGAGAATCTCTTTTTTAGAATTTAGACCTTTCTCTGTCTCTGTCTAGATCTGCCGCTAGCGTAATAATAATAATAAGTCTCAGTGGTATTGAAGATTAGTCACAGATATGATTACATGATTTATAAATCATATGTTTACCAGATGGTGATTGTGATTTTAGTCCATTCCTAATAGCTTGTATGATATAAAACAAACATACAAAACCGTCGAAATCCAACCGCTAGACGATATCTTTTTAGCACAGAAATATAATATCTAGACGCACCGATAGTATCAGTCTAGTCTCCGAGTGTTTCATGCGTAAATGTGTGCCGCAGACACGCTTCAAGGATTTGAACGCACGACTGGCTCAGTGCGGCGCTTTCCATCTTACACTCTATATTCTGCAGTAGCGTATTGTTATGTTAATGGTCGTGTAACCTATCTTAATTACATATATATCATGTAAATACTGTTACAGTACAATAAAGGCTCATAATATCTACCTAAAAATACAAAAAAAGATAAAGAAATTTTAATTGAACATCTAAAACTGGCACATACGGCCAGCTCGACCATTACGGCCCGGTCGTTAAGCAATTTTCTCGTTGCAATTTATCGTATAAGTGAGGTTACCGGAACCCTACACCCTCTTTCCCCCTAATTCTGGCCGTAGTACTCAAAAACTAGCAACGCACATACGACTCTTGTGTTTTTATAGGTACAGGCACCGATTTTAAGCGCTGACCTTTACCAGAAGTCGATTTTTGGGTCCCTTTTGAGGTATGAACTAGGCAATTAAATCATAAAGTCAGTCAGTGAACGGCTCACCGATATTGTCGCTGCTCCTGATTGGTTTTCTCGTACTTAAGTACGACGAGTGAACTTCCGAGCAAATTAATAGGGTCTTTCTTTTTTATTAATAATTATAATTTTTAATTCCGCTATTCATCATTTTTTTTTGTGGTAGTTAAAAACTGAGATTTTTATGCGAGTGTATTAGATAGCGTAATGTATTCTCTAATGTGTACCTATAATACAGTACCATGATGAAGAAATGGACACCATACCAGTACCAGCTTTAAATAAGAAAGTGATTTAATTGAAGCTGTCACTCCATTTTCACCCTAATAATTTTATAGTGAAAATATTAAAATAATACTTACGTATTGCCATTAAAAGCATTTTATCTTACCATAGAATCAATAAGATGTTAAAGAGAAACTTTCCAGACCGTGATCATCATAATTAATAAATAAAGCCTTTGACCAAATTTTAATTAAAGCCAACTCAATGTGTAATATTGCAAAGGGTTTTGCCTGGTTTGTCTTATGACCTTTCAACTGCCTGACGTCTACACTCCAGGGAATTTATTCATATCAAGACGAAATACACTATATATGAGTTTGAGATGAGGATAGAGCGAGCTAGAGTAAGAGACACCGCAAGTCTTGGATGGATAACGGGACGGAGACTGCAATAGCTTGATGGTATGGAGGAGGGTTCCTCCATATTCGTGGTATGATCAAAATAGCCATTAATTTGTTATATATACAGATTCATATAATATATATGTACATAATATAATAATTTCAACACTGGAAAAAGATGCTCTTGGAATAGGAGAAAACGGCCGATGGAAAAGCAGACATGATGAAATTAACCAAGCAAAATTGAAGTTAATTACTTACGTGATCGATGAACAGGCGCACCCATGATCCAAAGAATATGGCACAGACGATGCCGCATAAGAGCAGCACTACCGCCGTCGCTAACACGAACCCTGGCAACCAACAAAATCAGAGATAAGGATTTTGATTAAAGAAATTATTTTTGTATCAGATTTGCATCCTTTTGCTACAGCAAATCGTTAAGGTTTTTGCAATCAGCCCCCAATCACTGTTTAATGAAGCATTGTTAAAACGCAATGCCTATTACGCAGATATTACAATAATTTTAGGATGGTGCATTCAATTGACAGATAATGAGAAATACGTAACCGTTGAATCTTAATTCTAGGGTTTTCTTATACGTTCTTATTGATTTTAAAGTTATAAAAGCTTAGAAATTTAAAACGGTATATCAATAGATGTAAAGTACAAATAAAGTTCTATCATTTCCTTTATAGGATTTATTGGAATATAAAACAGAATATGGAAAATATTTCGCCGAAATTTCGAGCATCTGAATAGAACATAAATCTGTGGAGTCTTCATTTTCTTTGGAGCTTACATTCAATAAGCATTCTGTCGTAAGATTATTACGTTAATAGTTCTGATTATAACCTACCTCAAGAATTAAGCTTAAAGTTCAAGAATAGAAACTCCCTAGGAACGAAACAACTAACGGACTACGAATGCTGATTAAATTGCGGATAACATCTAGTGGTTTATAATATCCAGGACGATGTATATTATTTACTCATATTCATGCTAATTTTCTTCTTATTACAAAGCGTTATTATGCCGAGAAGGTACCAGGAAACCAACAATATGGTAAGCTGATAATATTTTGAAAATAACCGCCATGTTGTCGATGGTGATTATTATGACAAACGCGAATGTTGATGTAATCTGATAGTTAAGCAAACGCCGGAAGATGTTAATTTCCAGCGTGTGAAACTGTTTTGTCTTTAAGATATGTGAACTTTGGCTTTTGTACATGGTACATACACTCACATTTTTATCAACGAAAGGGTGGACAGGGGCGTATAGAACTCCTATAGTTGTTGAAAATAATTTAAGTCCCATTTAAGTTAAAGGTGGCAAATCTATTCCGGCAACAAACGGATTTTAATAAAAAAACCAATTTAATGGGTTTACTTAAAGTATATAAATGTAAATTAAATATAAAAAATCTATTTTATCTTTAGAGGTAAAAGAGACAGAACAATGCAGTTTATTACAGTTTTCCATGATTTGGGCGAAATAAGTCGATGACACTTTTGTCAAAAGTCAAGTATTTATTACACAAACAGACCTATGTATATCTCGACTAGGAAGTCAGATACAGTTTTTTATGACTTATGGACATCAACAACTCAAGAAGTCACCAGTTATGTATGTTGCTTACAAGACTACAAACCTGAAGGCCAATTCTCCAAATAAAAATTCGGTCTCAATTCCGATCAACTAGTCTCTGCTAGTGTTATACTACGAAAATACCTTTCATGACAGTTGTGAGATCGAAAGTTGATCGGAACTGAATTGTGACCGAACTTTTATTACGAGAATTGGCTCTCAGAGCTCTTACTTGCTTCAGTCGTTGAATGGTATAGTTTGGGAGTAGGTTCATTGTATACAAGTATTTACAAAAAAAAAGTATACAAGTATTCTATTAGTCAATCTAGTTTTCCTGGTCTTTGCAGTGCTGTTGTCCTGTATAATTTGCTTCCTTAGTCGGCTCTTACGACACCCATGGGATGAGTAGGGGTGGTGACATTCTGTATTCTTAATTCATCGCTAACATCGTCACGTCGTCACAATATATATATTTAATTAATTTTATCTTTCTAGTAGGCCAAAACCTTATGTAAGGAGAGGCATATGTCCAGCAGTGGACTACTATAAGCTGTTGATGATGATGATATTTATTTACAGTATATTAATTTATTTACAGTAAAACAGTTGGTAATAATCTATTGATTTAATTGTCATTGTTGTACTTTATAAACAGTCATCAAATTGTTTTGTGTCTATGTGTCAATTTGTTTCTTTAATTCTTACAACAGGAAACAGATAGAGAGGTCAAGGTTATGCTTTATGTTTAGTTTGTATACGATTGACATTGACTTTGTGTACTCAGACAGAATATAATATTGGAAACTAGGTTTTGCCAGCGTTATCGCGGTAAAAAGTAGCGTATGTCCTTCCTCGACAATCAAACTATCCCCAGGCCTACTTTTATTAAAATCGGTTTAACGGTTTAGCCGTGAAAGCAAAACAGACAGACAGACAGATTTACGTTCGTATGATATTAGTAAGGATTATGTTGATAGGAAAAAAAGTTGAGCAATTTCAGGATGTATGCTTACATACATAATACACTAAGGGATAGGTAAAGGCGCATTAAGCGGCTACATTTTTTTGCTGACTATATTTTTGATCCCATTTACGTAATAGGTGCAAAATCTAATTATAAATTAACGTACTTACAAATTTCTAAATACATACATATTATAGATAAATTACACCCTGACACAAAACAAATGATCATGCTCGTCAGACAATATTTGTCCTGGGTGGGAATCGAATCCATACCCTCTGGCTCAGCAGTCAGAATTACTAACCTCTATACTAATCAGCATAATTATATAATTGCATATGTTGTGTAACTTTACATAAGACTAGCTAATGCCCACGGCTTCGCTCGCATGATTATTTCTTATTTCGTTCATTTATTTATTCATTAGGAACTCCTACGAAAGATATACACAAGTAAAAAAACAGTAATTGACAGAATAGGCACAAAGTCGGTGTACTCCTTCACTTACAGGAGACCACAGCAAGCACAGTGAGAAAATAATAATACCATCACCAAGCGAACAAAGTTACAAGCGATGTTCAAAATTTAAATTCTTAAAGGTAACAAAAAATATAATTTAAATATTGTTTTGATAAAATATAAAAAAAGGAATAAAACAAAAAATAATAATAATAAAGTTGAGGTTTACATTACATCACATAATTCATTACTACAGAAGTGAAATTTCCAAAAATCTTTTTTTAGTGGTCTAATTACTAAATTATTTGCCCTGGCTGACTGATTCATTGATGAATCAGTCAGCCAGGGCAAAAGCCTAAACCGCTGGAGTTAAAACTTGTAATTTCGGCAGCTGATGCTTTTTATGTTATTATAACAGTTAGGATCACCTATAAGTAATGTAATGTCCGTGTGGTGACGGATTAAGAATACAGTGTCACCACCCCTATTCATCCCGTGGGTATCGTAAGAGCCGACTAAGGGAAAAAACAAACAATAGCACTGCAGAGAGACGGAAACTTAACACAAACCCTTTTTTTTTTTTTTTTTTTTAACGTGTGGAAATCCCCTCGGACCGTCACCCCTCCGGGGTTTGCGGCGGGGTGGTGTGTCGGACTCGGACCGACTAAAACCACACGGTGTGCCACTCTGCGCCTGTAACAGGAGGGATCCGGGAACAGCTGTTGTTAAGACATCCGGACCCCTCCTAGCGCCAGCCCGCTCCTGGTGCGGGCTCCGTCTCATTGTAGATGTTCCTCTCTTTAGGCGACGTCCGGCACACGCGGACGCCGCCCCCTCGCGGCTGGCCAACTAATGCGGGTGGAGGGGAAACCCACCCCGTCCACCCGCGGCCACACTCAGGGCGGCATGAGGCTGTGGTAGGCGGGCCTCCGCCGCCCGGTTCGCCGGCGGCGGATCGGGTCCGAGTGGAGGTCGTCCTCCCGGGCCCTCTCCGCCGCCTCCTTCCGCGAGATTACTACCTCGCAGAAGGTTGCGACCGCGGTAAAACAACTGTCGCTACCGGCCATGGAGCGTACTACGGCCGGTAGCGAGAGATCCACTCCGATGACTGCAGTGAGGGCCCGGCGCTGCGCCGCCCATGCGGGGCAGACCGCCAGCGTGTGCTGGGCCGAGTCCTCACTGCAATCGCAGTGGTGGCAGGCGGGACTCAGTTCCCTCCTAGCGACCGTGTGCAGGTACTTTCCGAAGCAACCGTGCCCGGAAAGCACCTGCGTCAGTCGGAAGGAAAGGGTCCCGTGCTGCCGCCCTGCCCACTCGGCGATGACCGGCTGGAGAGCCTCCACGGCGGCGAAGCCAGCGCGTGGAGTCTCCAGCCGGAACGACCAACAAGCCATCGTGGCTCGGCGAGCGGCTTCGCGCCACTCGCGCACATCCTCGGGCGGAGGGCGAAATCCGCTCTCCGCCCGGGAGTCAGCCACTCGCCGATAAACCTCGGCGAGCACTTCCGCCTCCAAATCCCACGGGGGAGTTCCGGCCAACGCGCACGCCACCTCCGTAGAAACGGTGCGGTAACCGCGTATGGCTCTGACCGCCATTACCCTCTGAGGGCGCCAGAGGCGTACCCTATTCTGGGCGGTCAGAGCCGCCGCCCACACCGGTGCACCGTACAGTGCTATTGACCGGACAACCCCCGTGTACAGCCGTCTTGTCGCGACGCTGGGTCCACCCATATTGGGCAAGAGTCGCCCTAAGGCAGACGCAGCGCCGACCAGCTTTGGAGCAAGCTGTCGGAAGTGCTCGTCGAAGAGCCACCTCCCGTCGAGGATCAGGCCCAGATATTTCATCTGGGCCCGAACCGGTACGAGGACCGAGTTGACCACGATTGAGGCGCCAGGGGGTGGACCACGACGGGGCCCATGGAATAACAGGGCCTCCGTCTTATCTAGGGCCACCCGTAAGCCCAGCGCCTCAATGCGCCCGACCACCAGGGAGACTCCCCCTGTGGCCAGGCGCGCCGCCTCTTGGAAGTTTGCCCCCCGGGCTGTCACGAGGGTATCGTCTGCGTAACAGATTACACCCAGCCCGGGGGGGAAATCGGCGCGAAGGGCCCAGTCGTACCCTATGTTCCACAAGAGGGGTCCAAGAACAGACCCCTGTGGAACACCGCACGACATGGGCCGACACCTCAAATTACCTTCTCGGTCCTCGTACACGACGGTACGCTCCTCTAAATAGTCTGCCACCAGCCGCCTCAGGTACTTTGGCACCCCATGATAGTGGAGTGCTTCCCTGATGCAGCTGAATGGCAGACTATTGAATGCGTTGGCGATGTCCAATGAC